GCGCTGGTGGTGGTGGCGGTGGTGGTAGTGCTGGTGGTAGCGGTGGCGGTAGCGGTAGTGGTAGTGCTGGTAGTGGTAGCGGTAGTGCTGGTAGTGGTAGTGGTAGTGCTGGTAGTGGTAGCGGTAGTGCTGGTAGTGGTAGTGCTGGTAGCGGTAGTGGTAGTGCTGGTAGTGGTAGTGGTAGTGCTGGTAGTGGTAGTGCTGGAAGTAGCGGTAGTGCTGGTGGTGGCGGTAGCGGTAGTGCTGGTGGTGGCGGTAGTGGCGGTAGCGGTAGTGCTGGTAGTGGTAGTGCTGGTAGCGGTAGTGCTGGTAGTGGTAGTGCTGGTAGCGGTAGTGCTGGTAGTGGTAGTGCTGGTAGTGGTAGTGCTGGTGGTGGTAGCGGTAGTGCTGGTAGTGGTAGTGCTGGTAGTGGTAGTGGTAGTGCTGGTAGTGGTAGTGCTGGAAGTAGCGGTAGTGCTGGTAGTAGCGGTAGCGGCGGTAGTGGCGTGGGCCTCCCCCGGCGCGCGACCTGCAGGTTGGCCAGCGTGAAGGCGGCTTGGGGCACCCGGGCCAGGTCGCAGTGCGTCAGCTCCAGCGCCGCGAGGGTGGCCAAGCGGCGCAGGGCCCCGGCGGGCAGCCCGAGCGGCGCCCCCTCGTTGTCCACGCCGAGGCGACGGAGCGCCGGGCCGCCCGGCTCACACAGCGCCGGCGGCAGCCGCGGCAGCCGCAGGCGGAGCGTCAAGGAGCGCAGAGCGCGGAGAGCACGCAGGTTCTCAAGAGTCGTGAGCCTGTGGGTGGGTGGAGTGGGTGGTGTGGGTGGGGAGCGTGGGTGGGTGGCGTGGGTGGGTGTGAGTGAGTGGGTGGGTGAGTGGGTGGGTGGGTGGGTGGGTGAGTGGGTGGGTGAGTGAGTGGGTGGGTGAGTGAGTGAGTGAGTGGGTGGGTGGTTGAGTGAGTGGGTGGGTGAGTGAGTGGGTGGGTGAGTGGGTGGGTGGGTGAGTGAGTGAGTGAGTGGGTGGGTGGGTGAGTGAGTGGGTGGGTGAGTGGGTGGGTGAGTGAGTGAGTGGGTGGGTGAGTGGGTGGGTGGGTGGGTGAGTGGGTGGGTGGGTGGGTAGGTGAGTGAGTGGGTGAGTGGGTAGGTGAGTGAGTGGGTGGGTGGGTGGGTTAGTGGGTGGGTGGGTGAGCGAGCGAGTGAGTGAGTGGGTGAGTGAGTGAGCGAGTGAGTGAGTGGGTGAGTGAGTGAGTGAGTGGGTGGGTGAGTGGGTGGGTGAGTGAGTGGGTGGGTGGGTGAGTGAGCGAGTAAGTGAGTGAGTGGGTGGGTGAGAGAGCGAGTGAGTGAGTGGGTGAGTGAGTGAGCGAGTGAGTGGGTGGGTGGGTGAGTGAGTGGGTGGGTGGGTGAGCGAGCGAGTGAGTGGGTGAGTGAGTGAGTGGGTGGGTGAGTGGGTGGGTGGGTGGGTGAGTGAGTGAGTGAGTGGGTGGGTGGGTGGGTGAGTGAGTGGGTGGGTGGGTGAGTGAGTGGGTGGGTGAGTGAGTGGGTGGGTGGGTGGGTGAGTGGGTGGGTGAGTGAGTGAGTGGGTAGGTGAGTGGGTAGGTGAGTGGGTAGGTGAGTGGGTAGGTGAGTGGGTGAGTGAGCAGGTGATTGGGTGAGTGGGTAGGTGAGTGAGTGGGTGAGTGGGTAGGTGAGTGGGTAGGTGAGCGGGTAGGTGAGTGCGTAGGTGAGTGGGTAGGTGAGTGAGTGGGTGAGTGGGTAGGTGAGTGGGTGAGTGGGTAGGTGAGTGAGTAGGTGAGTGGGTAGGTGAGTGGGTAGGTGAGTGGGTAGGTGAGTGGGTAGGTGAGTGGGTTGGTGAGTGAGTGAGTGGGTGGGTGGGTGGGTGAGTGGGTAGGTGAGTGGGTGAGTGAGTAGGTGAGTGAGTGGGTGAGTGGGTAGGTGAGTGAGTGGGTAGGTGAGTGGGTGAGTGAGTGGGTGAGTGAGTGGGTAGGTGAGTGGGTGAGTGAGCAGGTGATTGGGTGAGTGGGTAGGTGAGTGAGTGGGTGAGTGGATAGGTGAGTGGGTAGGTGAGTGGGTAGGTGAGTGCGTAGGTGAGTGGGTAGGTGAGTGAGTGGGTGGGTAGGTGAGTGGGTAAGTGGGTAGGTGAGTGAGTGGGTGAGTGGGTAGGTGAGTGGGTAGGTGAGTGGGTAGGTGAGTGGGTAGGTGAGTGAGTGGGTGAGTGGGTAGGTGAGTGGGTAGGTGAGTGGGTAGGTGAGTGGGTAGGTGAGTGAGTGGGTGAGTGGGTAGGTGAGTGGGTAGGTGAGTGGGTGGGTGAGTGGGTAGGCGAGTGAGTGGGTGCGTGGATAGGTGAGTGAGTGGGTAGGTGAGTGGGTGAGTGAGGTGAGTGGGTAGGTGAGTGGGTAGGTGAGTGGGTGGGTGAGTGGGGAGGTGAGTGGGTGAGTGGGTAGGTGAGTGGGTGGGTGAGTGGGTAGGTGAGTGAGTGGGTGAGTGGGTGGGTGAGTGGGTAGGTGAGTAGGTGAGTGGGTAGGTGAATGAGTGGGTGAGTGGGTGGGTGAGTAGGTGGGTGAGTGAGTGGGTGAGTGGGTAGGTGAGTGGGTGAGTGGGTAGGTGAGTGGGTAGGTGAGTGGGTGGGTGAGTGGGTAGGTGAGTGGGTGGGTGAGTGAGTGGGTAGGTGAGTGGGTGAGTGGGTAGGTGAGTGGGTGGGTGAGTGAGTAGGTGAGTGGGTAGGTGAGTGAGTGGGTGAGTGGGTAGGTGAGTGAGTGGGTGAGTGAGTGGGTAGGTGAGTAGGTGAGTGGGTAGGTGAGTGAGTGGGTGAGTGAGTAGGTGAGTGGGTAGGTGAGTGGGTGGGTGAGTGAGTAGGTGAGTGGGTAGGTGAGTAGGTGAGTGGGTGGGTGAGTGAGTGGGTGAGCTAATCTCTAACCCAATGCGCTGCTGTGATGGGTCTCCAGGTCCTAGGCTGCTGGTGAGGTGGAGCTCCTCCAGGTTCTTGAGACTCCAGATCCAGGGGGGCACCTCGCTCAGCTCAGAAAACTTGAGACGCAGGACCTGGGAGGGGGGGGGGGCACGCGAGGGGGGGGGGGGGGGCACCACGCCCACCGCTCGTGATAAGGGGCCTGCCGTGTAGACAGCGCACCGCAAAACGTGACTGACATCACTGTGACTGACCGTGACATCACTGTGACTGTGACATCACTGTGACTGTGACATCACTGTGACTGTGACATCACTGTGACTGACCGTGACATCACTGTGACTGTGACATCACTGTGACTGTGACATCACTGTGACTGTGACTGTGACAGCACTGTGACTATGACATCACTGTGACTGTGACTGTGACATCACTGTGACTGTGACAGCACTGTGACTGTGACATCACTGTGACTGTGACATCACTGTGACTGTGACATCACTGTGACTGTGACATCACTGTGACAGTGACATCACTGTGACAGTGACATCACTGTGACTGTGACATCACTGTGACTGTGACTGTGACATCACTGTGACATCACTGTGACTGTGACTGTGACATCACTGTGGCTGTGACATCACTGTGACTGTGACATCACTGTGACTGTGACATCACTGTGACTGTGACTGTGACATCACTGTGACTGTGACTGTGACATCACTGTGACTGTGACATCACTGTGACTGTGACTGTGACATCACTGTGACTGTGACATCACTGTGACTGTGACTGTGACATCACTGTGACTGTGACTGTGACATCACTGTGACTGTGACATCACTGTGACTGTGACTGTGACATCACTGTGACTGTGACATCACTGTGACTGTGACTGTGACATCACTGTGACAGCACTGTGACAGCACCGCGACCTTGACCGTGACCTTGACCGTGACCTTGCCCGCGACCTTGCCCGTGACCGCGAGGGCGACCGGCACCTTGAGGCGGTCTCCGAGGAAGGCGAGGGCCGAGGGGTCGGCCCGCGTGGGTGTGTGCAGCAGGCTCAGCTCGCACAGATTCACCAGACGTGCCACCGCCGGTGACAGCGTCGCCTCGCACAGCAGCTCCAGTCGCAGGGCCTCCACCTCCACCACCTGCGGTGGGGCGCACCGGAGTCACCGACACAACAACCACCGCCATCGCCGCCATCGCCGCCATCACCGCCACCCTCCTCACCACCAACACCACCCTCAGCACCATCACCACCACCCTCCTCACCATCCTCCTCACTGCCACCACCCTCACCACCACCATCACCGCCACCACTGCCACCACTGCCATCACCGCCACCGCCATCACCACCAACACCCTCCTCACCACCCTCACCACCCTCACCACCACCGCCCTCACCACCCTCATCACCACCCTCACCACCACCCTCACCACCACCCTCACCACCCTCACCACCACCCTCACCACCACCCTCACCACCCTCATCACCACCCTCACCACCACCCTCACCACCACCCTCACCACCCTCATCACCACCCTCACCACCACCCTCACCACCCTCACCACCACCCTCACTACCACCCTCACTACCACCCTCACCACCACCCTCACTACCACCCTCACCACCACCACCACCACCACCCTCACCACCACCCTCACCACCACCACCCTCACCACCACCCTCACCACCACCCTCACCACCACCCTCACCACCACCCTCACCACCACCACCACCACCACCCTCACCACCACCCTCACCACCACCCTCACCACCACCCTCACCACCCTCACCACCACCCTCACTACCACCCTCACCACCACCCTCACTACCACCCTCACCACCACCCTCACCACCACCAACACCCTCACCACCACCACCCTCACCACCACCCTCACCACCACCCTCACTACCACCCTCACCACCACCCTCACCACCCTCACCACCACCCTCACTACCACCCTCACCACCACCCTCACTACCACCCTCACCACCACCCTCACTACCACCCTCACCACCACCCTCACTACCACCCTCACCACCCTCCTCACCGCCACCACCCTCACCACCACCATCACCGCCACCACTGCCACCACCGCCATCACCGCCACCACCACCACCACCAACACCCTCACCACCACCACCCTCACCACCACCCTCACCACCACCCTCACTACCACCCTCACCACCACCCTCACCACCACCCTCACCACCACCCTCACCACCACCCTCAGCACCACCACCCTCACCACCCTCACCACCCTCACCACCACCCTCAGCACCACCACCCTCACCACCCTCACCACCACCCTCCTGACCACCACCACCCTCACCACCCTCACCACCACCCTCAGCACCACCACCCTCACCACCCTCACCACCACCCTCCTGACCACCACCACCCTCACCACCCTCACCACCCTCCTCCTCACCACGGGCGCCTCACCTCAAACACGCCGTCCGGCAGGCCTGCGAGCATGAAGAGGTGCAGCTCGGCTCGGCCGCCGCTGGCCGAGCGGCCGATCTTCTGGCGCAGTTTGTCGGGCGTCCACTCGTGGTTGAGGTTCATCTGACGCAGTTTGTTCTCACTCACCTGGGACAGGTACACGGTGGGGGGGTGGTGGTGGGGGGGTGGTGGTGGGGGGGTGGTGGTGGGGGGGTGGTGGTGGGGGGGGTGGTGGTGGGGGGGTGGTGGTGGGGGGGGTGGTGGTGGGGGGGTGGTTCAGGTTCATCTGACGCAGTTTGTTCTCACTCACCTGGGACAGGTACACGGTGGGGGGGTGGTGGTGGGGGGGTGGTGGTGGGGGGGTGGTGGTGGGGGGGTGGTGGTGGTGGGGGGGTGGTGGGGGGGTGGTTGAGGTTCATCTGACGCAGTTTGTTCTCACTCACCTGGGACAGGTACACGGTGGGGGGGTGGTGGTGGGGGGTGGTGGTGGGGGGGTGGTGGTGGGGGGGTGGTTCAGGTTCATCTGACGCAGTTTGTTCTCACTCACCTGGGACAGGTACACGGTGGGGGGGTGGTGGTGGGGGGGTGGTGGTGGGGGGGTGGTGGTGGGGGGGTGGTTCAGGTTCATCTGACGCAGTTTGTTCTCACTCACCTGGGACAGGTACACGGTGGGGGGGTGGTGGTGGGGGGGTGGTGGTGGGGGGGTGGTTCAGGTTCATCTGACGCAGTTTGTTCTCACTCACCTGGGACAGGTACACGGTGGGGGGGTGGTGGTGGGGGGGTGGTGGTGGGGGGGTGGTTCAGGTTCATCTGACGCAGTTTGTTCTCACTCACCTGGGACAGGTACACGGTGGGGGGGTGGTGGTGGGGGGGTGGTGGTGGGGGGGTGGTGGTGGGGGGTGGTGGTGGGAGGATGGTGGGGGGGTGGTTGTGGGGGGGTATGGTGGGCGGGAGGATGGTGGGGGGGTGCATCCTGTTCTCACCTCGGACAGGAACACGGCAAAGCGCTTCGAGTACAGGGGGTCAACCTGGGACAGACAACAACAGCAACAACAGCAACCACAACAACAACAAGAAACTTCCATTAGCACGGTTGGCTCCGTAGCTCGCGAAAATAAATTCGACATACACACACACCACCACCATCACCACCACCACCATCATCACCACCACCACCACCATCACCACCATCATCACCACGCCACCATCATCACCACCATCACCACCATCATCACCACGCCACCATCATCACCACCATCACCACCATCATCACCACCACCACCATCACCACCACCATCACCACTATCACCACCACCACCATCACCACCATCACCACCATCACCACCATCACCACCACCACCATCACCACCATCATCACCACGCCACCATCATCACCACCACCATCATCACCACCACCACCATCACCACCACCATCACCACTATCACCACCACCATCACCACCATCATCACCACCACCACCATCACCACCACAATCACCACCATCATCATCACCACCACCACCATCACCACCATCACCACCACCACCATCACCACCACCACCACCACCATAATCACCATCACCACCACCATCACCACCACCACCACCATCACCATCATCACCACCATCACCACCACCACCATCACCACCACCATCACCACCATTCGCCACCGAGTGGCGGTGACGTCACCACGGTGCCTGTGCCAGGCTAGGTGCAGGAGGTCTCGGGACAGACCCAGCAGCTGCCATGGGTTGACGGACTGAGATGATCGGTATATGCACCACCAGCTGTACCCCCCTGCTGTGCCAAGTTGCTGCATTTTAGCCGCCGGGCGCTCTGCTCGTTGTTGTGAGCCGTAGCTCACACTCACTCACCCACACGCTCCCCCATTAGCTCAACCACTCACTCAATCTCTTACTCACTCACTCACACACTCAACCCTCTCTCTCACTCACTCTCTCAACCACTTACTCACCTACTCCCTTACTCTCTCACCCACCTATCCACTCATTCGCTCACCCACTCTCACACTCACCCGCCTTCACAACCACCCATACACACACCCACACACCCACCCACAAACCTCTCACCCACCCGCTCACACAATCATCCACTCACCCACCCACTTATCCACTCACCCACCTCTCCACCCACCCACCCACTCGCCCACCCACTCACCCACCCACTCGCCCACCCACCCACCCACCCACTCGCCCACCCACCCAACTACACACCCACCCACCTGCTCAGTCACTCACCCACCCACTCACCACACAACCACCAGCTCACTTATCCACCCACTCACCCACCCACTCACTCACTCACCCACCCACCCACACCCACCCACCCGCTCACCCACCCACTCGCTCGCTCACCCGCCCACTCACTCACTCACTCACCCACCCACCCACTCACTCACTCACCCACCCACCCACACACTCACCCACCCGCTCAGTCACTCAACCACCCACTCACCCACTCACTCACCCACCCACTCATTCACTCACCCACCCACCCACCCACCCACACACTCACCCACCCACTCACTCACCCACCCACTCACCCACTCACTCACTCACTCAGCCACCCACCCACCCACCCACTTGCTCACCCACCCACCCACTCGCTCACCCACCCACCCACTCGCTCACCCACCCACCCACTCGCTCACCCACCCACCCACTCGCTCACCCACCCACCCACTCGCTCACCTACCCACCTACTTACTCACCCACCCACCCACCCACCCCCCACCTGGTCGATGAGGTGCAGAAGGAAAGCGAAGTCGTTCTTCACGTCCGGGATGTCACTGAAGGCGCTCTCCTCGCGGGCATTCTCAAACGAGTAACGCTTTAGAGAGCGCCCCACCACCATCCACAGCAGCGTGTAGACACACACGGCCCCGTAGAACAACAGCAGGGCCACGTACAGCAGGCACAGCACCTACACACAGCGTCACAACAACCACTACAACAACCACCACCACCATCCACAGCAGCGTGTAGACACACACGGCCCCGTAGAACAACAGCAGGGCCACGTACAGCAGGCACAGCACCTACACACAGCGTCACAACAACCACTACAACAACCACTACAACAACCACCACCATCCACAGCAACGTGTAGACACACACCGCACCGTAGAACAACAGCAGGGCCACGTACAGCAGGCACAGCACCTACACACAGCGTCACAACAACAACAACCACTACAACAACCACTACAACCACCACCACCATCCACAGCAGCGTGTAGACACACACGGCCCCGTAGAACAACAGCAGGGCCACGTACAGCAGGCACAGCACCTACACACAGCGTCACAACAACAAACACTACAACAAGCACTACAACAACCACTACAACAACCACCACCATCCACAGCAGCGTGTAGACACACACGGCCCCGTAGAACAACAGCAGGGCCACGTACAGCAGGCACAGCACCTACACACAGCGTCACAACAACAACAACCACTACAACAACCACTACAACCACCACCACCATCCACAGCAGCGTGTAGACACACACGGCCCCGTAGAACAGCAGTAGGGCCACGTACAGCAGGCACAGCACCTACACACAGCGTCACAACAACAACAACCACTACAACAACCACTACAACAACAACCACAACAACAAGCACTACAACAACCACCACAACAACAACCACTACAACAACCACCACAACAACAACCACTACAACAACCACCACACACACACATACCCCCCACACACATACACGTACCCCCCACACACACACACGTACCCCCCACACACACACACACGTACCCCACACACACGTACCCCACACACACGTACCCCCCACACACGTACCCCCCACACACGTACCCCCCACACACACGTACCCCCCCACACACACGTACCCTGAAGAGCGTGGCCAGAGAGTGCGCACAGCGGTACACACGTACCCCCCACACACACACACACACGTACCCCCCACACACACGTACCCTGAAGAGCGTGGCCAGAGAGTGTGCACAGCGGTACACACGTACCCCCCACACACACGTACCCCACACACACACACATACCACGTACCCTGAAGAGCGTGGCCAGAGAGTGCGCACAGCGGTACACACGTACCACACACACACGTACCCCCCTACACACACATACCCCCCACACACACGTACCCCACTCACAAACACACGTACCCCCCACACACACACCCACACGTACCCTGAAGAGCGTGGCCAGAGAGTGCGCACAGCGGTACACACGTACCACACACACACACACACGTACCCCCCTACACACCCACACGTACCCTGAAGAGCGTGGCCAGAGAGTGCGCACAGCGGTACACACGTACCCCCCACACACACACACACGTACCCTACACACGTACCCCCACACGTACCCCACCCACACACGTACCCTGAAGAGCGTGGCCAGAGAGTGCGCACAGCGGTACACACGTACCACACACACACACACACGTACCCCCCACACATACCACGTACCCTGAAGAGCGTGGCCAGAGAGTGCGCACAGCGGTACACACGTACCCCCCACACACACGTATCACACACACACACATACCCCCCACACACGTACCCCCCACCCACACGTACCCCCCCACACACGTACCCTGAAGAGCGTGGCCAGAGAGTGCGCACAGCGGTACACACGTACCCCCCACACACACGTACCACACACACACACATACCCCCCACACACGTACCCCCCACCCACACGTACCCACACACACACGTACCCTGAAGAGCGTGGCCAGAGAGTGCGCACAGCGGTACACACGTAACCCACACACACACACACGTACCCCACACACACACGTACCCTGAAGAGCGTGGCCAGAGAGTGCGCACAGCGGTACACACGTACCCCACACACACACACACACACGTACCCCCCACACACACACACATACCACGTACCCTGAAGAGCGTGGCCAGAGAGTGTGCACAGCGGTACACACGTACCCCCCACACACACACACACACGTACCACACACACACACCCACACGTACCCCACACACACACACCCACACGTACCCTGAAGAGCGTGGCCAGAGAGTGTGCACAGCGGTACACACGTACCCCCCACACACACACACACACGTACCCCCCACACACACGTACCCCCCACACACACGTACCCTGAAGAGCGTGGCCAGAGAGTGCGCACAGCGGTACACACGTAACCCACGTACACACACACACGTACCCCCCACACACACACACACGTACCCCCCCCCACACACACGTACCCTGAAGAGCGTGGCCAGAGAGTGTGCACAGCGGTACACACGTACCCCACACACACACACACACGTACCCACACATACCACGTACCCTGAAGAGTGTGGCCAGAGAGTGCGCACAGCGGTACACACGTACCTCCCACACACACACACACACGTACCCCACACACACACACACGTACCCTGAAGAGCGTGGCCAGAGAGTGTGCACAGCGGTACACACGTACCCCACACACACACGTACACACACGTACCCTGAAGAGCGTGGCCAGAGAGTGTGCACAGCGGTACACACGTACCCCCCACACACACACACGTACACACACGTACCCTGAAGAGCGTGGCCAGAGAGTGTGCACAGCGGTACACACGTACCACACACACACACGTACCCTGAAGAGCGTGGCCAGAGAGTGTGCACAGCGGTACACACGTACCCCCCACACACACACACGTACACACACGTACCCTGAAGAGCGTGGCCAGAGAGTGTGCACAGCGGTACACACGTACCACACACACACACGTACCCTGAAGAGCGTGGCCAGAGAGTGTGCACAGCGGTACACGCGGTAGCCGGTGAAGGCTCCGAGGCTGACAGCGCAGTCCACGTCGAAGCGGATCCCCCGCGCCGACGCCAGCGTGAGCCCCAGCGCCGCCACCAGCAGCACCGTGCGCAGCCACGCCTGGCGCAGGTACACGGCGTGCACACACTCGCTGCACTCCACGTGGCCACGGAACTTCTTCACTTTCTCAAAGAGGGCACGTGCCTTGGTGCGCGGGGAGCGGGGAGGGGAGAGGGGGAGAGGGGAGGGAGAGGGGAGGGAGAGGGGAGGGAGGGAGTGGAGGGAGGAGAGGGAAGGAAGGGAAGAGGGAGGGAGATTAATAAAAACACAGAGACTCATAGAGATACATAGACACACACTCGCTGCACTCCACGTGGCCACGGAACTTCTTCACTTTCTCAAAGAGGGCACGTGCCTTGGTGCGCGGGGAGCGGGGAGGGGAGAGGGGGAGAGGGGAGGGAGAGGGGAGGGAGAGGGGAGGGAGGGAGTGGAGGGAGGAGAGGGAAGGAAGGGAAGAGGGAGGGAGATTAATAAAAACACAGAGACTCATAGAGATACATAGACACACACTCGCTGCACTCCACGTGGCCACGGAACTTCTTCACTTTCTCAAAGAGGGCACGTGCCTTGGTGCGCGGGGGAGCGGGAGGGGGAGGGAGAGGGAGAGGGGGAGGGGAGGGAGGGGGGAGGAGAGGGAGGAGAGGGAGGGAGGGAGGGGGGAGGGAGGGGGGGAGGGAGATTAATAAAAACACAGAGACTCATAGAGATACATAGACACACACTCGCTGCACTCCACGTGGCCACGGAACTTCTTCACTTTCTCAAAGAGGGCACGTGCCTTGGTGCGCGGGGAGAGGGGAGAGGAGAGGGGAGAGGGAGAGGGGAGGGAGAGAGGGAGGAGAGGGAGGGAGGGAGGGGGGGAGGGAGGGGGGGGAGGGAGATTAATAAAAACACAGAGACTCATAGAGATACATAGACACACACTCGCTGCACTCCACGTGGCCACGGAACTTCTTCACTTTCTCAAAGAGGGCACGTGCCTTGGTGCGCGGGGAGAGGGGAGGAGAGGGAGAGGGAGGGGGGAGGGAGAGGGAGGGGGGAGGGAGAGGGGAGGGAGAGGGAGAGGGGAGGGAGATTAATAAAAACACAGAGACTCATAGAGATACATAGACACACACTCGCTGCACTCCACGTGGCCACGGAACTTCTTCACTTTCTCAAAGAGGGCACGTGCCTTGGTGCGCGGGGAGCGGGGAGAGGAGAGGGGAGAGGGAGAGGGGAGGGAGAGAGGGAGGAGAGGGAGGGAGGGAGGGGGGAGGGAGGGGGGGAGGGAGATTAATAAAAACACAGAGACTCATAGAGATACATAGACACACACTCGCTGCACTCCACGTGGCCACGGAACTTCTTCACTTTCTCAAAGAGGGCACGTGCCTTGGTGCGCGGGGAGCGGGGAGAGGAGGGAGAGGAGAGGGAGAGGGGAGGGAGGGGGGAGGAGAGGGAGGAGAGGGAGGGAGGGAGGGGGGAGGGAGGGGGGGAGGGAGAGAGGGAGGGGGCCAGGAGAGGGAAGGAAGGGAAGAGGGAGGGAGATTAATAAAAACACAGAGACTCATAGAGATACATAGACACACACTCGCTGCACTCCACGTGGCCACGGAACTTCTTCACTTTCTCAAAGAGGGCACGTGCCTTGGTGCGCGGGGGAGCGGGGAGGGGAGGGAGAGGGAGAGGGGGAGGGGAGGGAGGGGGGGAGGAGAGGGAGGAGAGGGAGGGAGGGAGGGGGGAGGGAGGGGGGGAGGGAGAGAGGGAGGGGGCCAGGAGAGGGAAGGAAGGGAAGAGGGAGGGAGATTAATAAAAACACAGAGACTCATAGAGATACATAGACACACACTCGCTGCACTCCACGTGGCCACGGAACTTCTTCACTTTCTCAAAGAGGGCACGTGCCTTGGTGCGCGGGGAGAGGGGAGGGGGAGAGGGGAGAGGGGAGGGGAGGGAGGGGGGGGATGGAGGGGGGGAGGGAGGGGGGGAGGAGAAGAGAGAGAAGAGGGGGGGAGGGATGGAGGGAGGGAGGGAGAGGGGAAAGGGGGGATGGAGGGGGGAGGGAGGGAGGGGGGGAGGGGGGAGGGGAAAGGGGGGATGGAGGGGGGAGGAGAGGGAGGAGAGGGAGGGAGGGAGGGGGGATGGAGGGAGGGGAGGGAGGGGGGATGGAGGGAGGGAGGGAGGGGGGAGGGGGGGAGGGAGGGAGGGAGGGGGGAGGGAGGGAGGGAGAGGGAGGATGGAGGGGGGAGGAGAGGGAGGATGGAGGGGGGAGGAGAGGGACGAGAGGGAGGGAGGGAGGGGAGGGAGGGAGGGGGGGGAGGGGAGGGAGGGAGGGAGGGGGGGAGGGAGAGAGGGAGGGGGGCAGGAGAGGGAAGGAAGGGAAGAGGGAGGGAGATTCATAAAAACACAGACTCATAAAGATACATAGACATACATAGAGACATATGGAGACACACCGAGACACACAAAGACACAGAGACACACGGAGACTCACAGTGACACACATAAACTCACAGTGACACACAGAGACACACACAGAGAAACACAGTGACACACAGTGACACACACAGAGACTCACAGTGACACACAGAGACACACAGTGACACAGAGACACACAAAGACACACACAGAGACACACAGAGACACACAGAGACTCACAGTGACACACAGAGACACACAGAGACACAGAGACACACGGAGACACACAGATACACAGAGACACACATAGAGACACAGCGACACACAGTGACACACAGAGACACACTGATACAAACAGAGACACACAGTGACACACGGCGACACACAGAGACACACACAGACATCAACAGAGACACACAGAGACTCACAGTGACACACAGAGACACAGAGACACACAGTGACACACGGAGACACACAGAGACACACAGAGACTCACAGCGACACACAGAGACACACAGAGACACACAGAGACTCACAGTGACACACAGAGACACACAGAGACACACACAGAGACACACAGAGACACACAGAGACACGTGGCGGTGTGAACGTGCCACCTGCTCTCCCTCCTGTCGGTCCAGGAGGCTGCTGCCTCCTCCTCCTCCTCCGCAGGGGAAGTCCGTGGCGTTGGGATCTCCGCTCGTCGGAGACCGAGGAAGCCCCTGGGGATATCCAACTACTCACACGCGGAGTGAGAGAGGTGAGTGGATGAGTGAGATGAGAGAGAGATGAGTGGGTGAGTGAGTTGAGAGAGAGATGAGTGGGTGAGTGAGTTGAGAAAAAGAGAGTTGAGAGAGATGAGTGGGTGAGTGAGTTGAGAGAGAGATGAGTGGGTGAGTGAGTTGAGAGAGAGTTTAGAGAGAGATGAGTGGGTGAGTGAGTTGAGAGAGAGAGTGAGTTGAGAGAGATGAGTGGGTGAGTGAGTTGAGAGATGAGTGGGTGAGTGAGTTGAGAGAGATGATTGGGTGAGTGAGTTGAGAGAGATGAGTGGGTGAGTGAGTTGAGAGAGAGTTTAGAGAGAGATAAGTGGGTGAGTGAGTCGAGAGAGAGAGGAGAGAGGGATGAGTGAGTTAGTGAGTTGAGAGAGAAGAGTGGGTGAGTGAGTTGAAAGAGATGAGTGGGTGAGTGAGTGGAGAGAGATGAGTGGGTGAGTGAGTTGAGAGAGATGAGTGGGTGAGTGAGTTGAGAGAGAGATGAGTGGGTGAGTGAGTTGAGAGAGAGAGTTAAGAGAGAGATGAGTGGGTGAGTGAGTTGAGAGAGAATTGAGTGGGTGAGTGAGTTGAGAGAGAGATGAGTGGGTGAGTGAGTTGAGAGAGAGAGTTGAGA